TGTTGTAACTACTGTTTCAGGAGTCAGACAGTCCATGACTCTAGAAAATGAAGTGCAAGACAAAAATAAATTCAAAATAGAACAGAGACCTTCCCTATTCTTTCACATTAGAGTATTTTTGCTCTTCCAGACCCACCAAAACTACACAAACAAAATAAAGGCTGGCAATATCATCATAGAATGAAAACAGCAAAGGCAAGCAAATGAAAGCAACTTACACTTATCCTCATTCCTTATTGTTAACCTCAGTGAGGATTTCCAAAGAATCAGTTGATTACAGTGAGGACTTATTTTTACTCCTTTTCTTCCTATGAGCATGGTCTGAAACACTCTGCTGTAGTCTCTGGAGTCACTAGCTATACATCTTTACCTTCAAGACACACAGGCCTATCACCTAAGATAAAAATAAAAGACTTCAGTCTCTATTTATCCTTCCCCTAGCTAAAAGCAGGGCACTTATAAAGCAAGCAAGCTCTATACCCTACACCTGCTTTTAATGCTTCCAAAAAGCCAAGAGCAATTGAAAGGCAGACCAAAAACAGTAGGAGAAAGTGTGAACTGCTCTCTGCTGTCCCCATAGACGTTAACTTTGAAGCCTTATTAGAGCCATTTAAATACTAACATTTTAATTGTGTCTTCGAAACATTCAGCCTATGTCCCGATCCAGCTTGGGTGTTTAGATGTTCTAGTTGGATACTCTTTCCACACAAAACAATTTGTAAAAAGAGCTTATTGTACTCCATATCAGGTTTCTGGATTGCCTTGAATCATAATTGCCCTTATGTGGAAAAAAATCTCACTGTCAAGAACTGCATGTCCAAAAAGGAGACAGAGGAGTCCTAAAACTTTATTCAAATAAAGGGAGAGCCCACCAGGCATAGCCCTAGGAGGTCTCTCTCAAATTGCTGGGGGACGCAGCCACCCTTTTATCCTAATTTCCTGACCGAGGGACGCCCTCTCCTTTTCCCCATTGGCCAAGGTACTCAGAAGTTACAGCCTTCCTGGCTGCCTACACCAAACTCCTGGCTCTTGCCATCTGTTCTCACCTAAGGTCACCTGACTTGTTTGTCCCCCTTGCTGAAGAATGTGGAGGAATTCCCTTATTTCCCTTATTTGTAAAGGCCCCCAACTCTTGGCACATGCTCTTTTGTCCCACTCGCTCATGGCTCTGCTCAGTCTCTCCCCTCCGTTTGTCCTGCTCTTCAACTAGACTGTGGGGAAATCCCCTTATTGGTGAATACACAAACTTGAGTGTTCTGCTCACCCTGCTGTCAGTTTTAATGTTCAATGTAATTAAACCTATGTAGTTAATTAAAGTAAATTTAAGTACACACTTGTACCAGTTAAAGCTGTTTTGTTTCATCTTAGCTTGCAAATAATCGTTTACATTAAACCAAGGTATGTATGTACTTTTCAAGGGGTTGCATAAATAATTTAACAAGTTTATAAATTAGTTTTTTTGGGGAAAAAAAAGCGCTTAGCTGGCCAAATCTAACCACATTATTTAATTAGCCACTATTGTTGTTGCATGGATGGTTTCTTCCTTCTTTTTTCCATGTTTCCATGCTCATGTTTAACAGATCTGCCTGTGTTCAAAGTGTTTCCAGAATAAGGGCATTTAAACTTAACAAAAACTTGTGTTTTACTATGATAATAATAATCTACAGCTGAAACTATTTAGAAGTAACTTCTGATCAATTCTACATGAGACAAGACCTAAGCAAGCAGCACATTTAAAGTGATTTATAAGAAAGAAGTCTATAAACTAACCAGATAAGAAGCTTGCCACTATTTTTAATTCCTATAAACATGAATCGAACCTTTCTCCTTTCTTCTGCTTTTTGCAACAGAAATGACACAACTCTGGTTTATTCATTCCCTCCTTGCTCTTACCGACTCTGCTGTAGCAGATCCCACAGCAATTTCTAGGAAAGCAAAGATTTTTGTCACCTTTGTTTTCTGCCAAATCTTAATCTCCCTAATCCTCAGCATTGTGCAGCTGGTTGGTGTATGGGGCCCGAATGGGGAGGGGAGGAACGTGAGAAGGGGGCTTGGGTGTGGTAAAGAAAAAAAAAAAAAAAAAAAAGCAAATACATGTTTTATTGCTTCATTAATGTAAACGGCACCAGGAGCTCCAGTGCATTCTGGCAATCGCAGCGCAGCTCTCCAAAGACCTTTGATACACTGGGTTGGATGCAGAAGTAAAGAGGATGGAGGTACAAAAGGAGGCATATGCCACAACGGGTCATCTTTCACCCTTGACAGTACTGCAAAGTGCAACAGTTTTGTAAGAGAGATCCTGTAAACAGAGGGAGGATAAATTCATGCATCTGCTTTTATTTATACTTGGGTGTGATTGCATTTTTGAAGGTCTTACTAATTCTACGGATGGCACTGATACTGAAGAGGTGAATTATATAATTGGTATTATGTAATATATATATACATACACCTATAGGAGTTTTGTAACCAATCCTAAGGAAAAAGTTAAGCATGTGGCCCAATATTCTCCTGTGTAGCTGAAGCTCCTCAGCTCTCCAGGCCTGCTCAGCCCTCCACCCCACACATGACCCGCTGTACTCCCCAATTTCTGCATTAGGCCCATAACACAGAGGTGAAGGGGGCAGTAGCTTTCTGCCCTTTCCCCGCTTAAAACTGGCAAATAAAGGAATAAAAAGCCTTCTACCAGGGCATGAAGTATGGTAAATTTGAGGACTGGAAAACCACCCAGTAGAGCATTAAATTTTGAATGGCAGCAACTTAAGGAAAATTGGTATATCCTTCGCAGAGCGCTTCAGTACTAGCTACCTTAAAGCAGTTATTTTCCTCCCGACACCCCTGAGTTTAAACTGGAGACTGCTGATCTCAGGGCACCCCGTCTAGCACAGCCAAGGAGCCTCCCTGGTCCAACCTTGGTCCTTCTTGAAGGGAAGCGGGTCTAGAACTGCCTTCTACTAAACCCTGGTGCTATTCCTTATCCCAGCACTTCCTGGTGGCATGGAGTTTGCAGGTTTAATTCTAAGGGAAAGGAGTTAGAAGGAGTTATTTGCTCCTCCACTGAGATTTTGAGGCAGGTTTACTTTATTTATTTTTTAATTATTATTTTCCTCCTCTCTTCCCAGCGACCCCCGGCTTCCTTGCACGAGGAGCTGCTACTGCTGGACACAAGCAGGAAGAGCCACCCAGGCCACGCCGCCTCTTGCGTGGACGGAGAGCTCCACCATGCCAGTCTCGTATTTTACACAGAAAAGCCCCCAAACGAACCAATAATAATAATATTA